TATCTGTTATTTTGTTTCTTGTTTTCGAATTTTTGTAATGTAAAATGAAAATAAATATTTAAAAGAAAACGAGAGCAAATCTCACAAAACCATTGATAATTTCATGAATTGTGCGTATAAATACACCTAAAATCAATCTTATATCTAGGGCAACAAAACCACTGTAGACCAGTGTAATACTCTTTATCGTTTTCGAATGATTGAGAATCTCGAGAATGCTGGTATTCGTACCTCCTGCAGGAAATAATAAGCCTAATCAAGAAATCTACGATTAATTAGCAGCTTTTTCGAATAATTTATGGTTGTGAAGGAAACGATCCAGTCCGCAGAATTGTTGGGGAATATTAGCAGGAATTCGTGGAATACTGTTGAGAACCAGGAAAATGCCATTTCATTGATGAATACGGTATTGGGGTATACAACGATCGGAAGAAATTTTAAGTTCTGTTCATACCAAATAACATATTCATTTTTCATTTAAACGATATAGATCTAGAAATAAAATACTTTGTCTAATTTCCACTTACTTAATGTATTGATATTAATACGACCAAGGTTTCGGTTTTTACACCATTCTCAAGTTAGAATACTTGAATTTCCACAAAATAAATAAGTCATCAATATCACAAAATATTCATTTTTAGTTGGAATTAGTGTGTTTGTGAATTTCGATTCATCTCAACATTTGACATTATATCTGTTTCACTAACTCATTCGAGTATTTGGAATCAGGTATCTCTATTTCCATTAAATGAAACAAATTAAAGTCCAGGAAATGAAATGTTGAAAAATATTTCAGAGCCAATAGTAGATCCTCTCACCCATATTGCCAACACGTCCTTAGAAAACGGAATTTTTCCTGATATTTTAAAAATAGGTGTCGTCAAACCAGTATACAGAAATGGAGATACACTTGAGATCACTAATTACAGACCAATATCATTATTTTCTAATATAGCAAAAATTTTAGATTCTGTTTGCCATAAAATTAGAAAACATTGGTATACGGGGCAGAGCATATGAACTGTTTTATTCCTACCTGAATAATCGACAACAAATAGTTGACATCGATGGAAAAAAAAATAGTACGAGAACAATTACTTACGGAGTTCCGCAAGGTACGGTCTTGGGTCCAATACTATTCATTATCTATATAAATAGTTCATTGAAAATGCATTACGAAGGAAACATTCTCAGTTTTCCTGCAATCTTTCATAATGCTGAGACATGGTAAGACCTCAAGATTAAATCAGAAAAATATTTTGAAAACATCATGAAATGGTTTCAATTCAACAAATTGACCTTGAACGTAGAAAAAACAAAATGTCCACCATTTACCTCTTATACCAATAAACTACAGAACATAGGTACTTTGATTATCAATCAAAACTTATTGATTCCAGAAAGTACGTCAATTGAATACCTTGGCCTAATGGGAGTCACACGTATTATATCTAACTCAAAAATAACCAGGATTTTTGTTTCGCTTTGAACTAGAAACAATGGCTCGACATTCCCTATATGACTACTTTATATTATGGTTTGGTAGGTAGGTTGGGGAGGTATTAGGGATACCCACTAAACATTTTGTTAGGTAAAGATAGAACGTTTTTCAGTGACCTATTATTTGAAGAAGAAGAAATTAATTTCTATATTCTTAGATACACCAATCGAACCCAAGCAGAAATTTGCCAGCATTGCACAAGACTCTTTCAAAGCTGATATTGTACCAACGAACTTCAGCTATTCTCCAGATGCCAGTCAAACTATCAACTCTTGGGTGGAGAAGCTGACTAATGGAAAAATTTCTAAATTAGTTGATACTGGTAAGCAACTGATATATTTAGCACATATAGTTAGTGGGCATACTTGAAGACTGGCTATAAATGAAATTATCTAAAAGAACAGTTCATTCAGGCCAGTCTCAACTCCCGACCCTATAGGTTACGTATTAGCCAGGGGAGTAGTGACAGGTTTCAGTCCATTAACCTACAGTGTAAGGAGTAGAGAATGGCCTGAACGAATTGTTCCTTCAGATGATTTGATATATTTAGTTTCGAAGTAAAAACAGTCAACGTCCGATCATATGTTAAACAAATGTATGAGTATCTGTGAACCATCAGTCCAGTCATTATAGTAAGTTCACCTCGGAATTCGAGATACCCAGCTGTTAGTCTGTAAATACTTGTATATTGACACCCTAAAAGTTGTCTCAAAACCTACATATTNCTACTGTGTAGGGTGTTGAGACTGGCCTGAACGAATTGTTCCTCTAGATGATTTAGTATCGATCTGTAGACCGTGGTTTGAAGATGAAACTACTAATGCATTGATATGTTCACATGCATCAACAATGTCATTGGTATCAAATGAATGGTAAATTTGAGTATCGTCTGCATAAAGGTGTATGGGACAATATTTCATATGTTTAATAATTCGACTTGTATAAAGCGAAAAGAGAACAGGCCCAAGGATAGATCCTTGGGGTATATCCGATTTCAATAACAGATTGACGGAGTAGTTCAGATCAGTACAAACTGATACATTTCAAACACATTTACGACAAGCGAATGCATTTATCAATAACTCTAAAACATTTCTTTTTCCAGGTGACCTCCAAGACGCTATAATGGTGATCGCTAACGCCGTGTACTTCCGGGGATCGTGGAGGTATCAATTCCCTAGAGATCAAACGCAACTGGGCAAATTTTACGTCCCCGACGCCAACGGCTTCTTAACTATAAACACCCCGTTCATGTCGACGAATAACAAGTTTTACTTTCTTGAATCGCCGACTTTGGATGCAAAAATTATAAGGCTCCCGTACAAGGTAAGGAAACGAGGGATCTCGATCCGGATGGATTTTGTATCCAGAGAAATGCAGGAAAACTATTCTTGTAGAATTACAAGAGATCGTTGATGGTTGTTTTCGTCGCATTTGCCCTCAGGGTGTCTCATAAGTCGCGGTACAAATAAGGTGATAGGGGAGAAAATTTCTCATCTTTTTTTAATTATTTTGATTTTTTGGTATCAACCAACTTCGTTATAATGCTAAATTGCTTTTCCATAGTACTCATTTGATTAGCTGTTGCATGGGCGAGCATTTTGCCGTTGACGAGTCGCAGTTCGGTATGTTTTCAATCTACGTATTCTCTGACGACACAAAGTACTGGATACTGGATTCTTCGATAGCCAAAATACACACTCGTTTAGTAATTATATATGATAGTGAATTTAAAATAATCCACACACTATATACGAAGGGAAAACGAACGTTCAAAACGCTGAATACCGTTCTTTCTCAAACGCCGTCCTATTCTAATTTTTCTGTTATGTTTACCTACATATTTTTAACTCATAATGGTATTAACTTGTACAACGAAACTCAGTGTTCTTCTGACACGTGGAATCGCTATCCCTCCCGCTCCACTTAGTTACGTTAGGGACTGGGTGGTATGTCTCGTTGATGGATATGGCTGCTCCTGGTTGTCTGCTTGAATCATTTATATCCACAGAAAATTCTAATCTCCCGCCACAATGTTCTGAGATAAAGAAGCGTGCGTTCTGATTAGCTGGCGAGGTGCATGACAGTTCAATTTGGTACACTCTGATTGGTTCATCGCCTAGCTAGCAGGGTGACAGGACACCACGTGACAATTTGAGGCACTCTAGTTGACTGGGTGGTCTATCCGCCTTGCATGGCGAGCTGAGATGCAACCTGACTGGTGAGATGACGTCACTGTCTGCCTGAATTGGGACAACTCCTACTACTCCTTGATCGTCTACATATCTTTCAGTGACAAAGCCTTCACGAACTACATGTTCACTGACATTCTGCAACCGTACATTTTGAACGTCATGATCACCATGCGGTAAGAGGATGAATCCAACACCCAATCTTCTACTGACACCACCGCTCCTACACCCAAATGTTCAACTGTGTTATGCATTGTAGGATTGTCTGTCAGTGACAGACCATTTTTCACACATGGAGTATATGATATTGATGTCAGTAGACTGATTCTTCTTCACGTAATTCCACAATTATGGCGAATATTTCATTATCGTGCCTGGTATGTCCAGCCATTCGTAAACTCCAAAGTTATCGAAGGCGATCAACCAATTCCCACAGTTTATTCTAGTAAACTCAATATACATGCTTATTCTCTCTGCCGGTATTTTGCAGTGGGTTTCCATTGAATTATCATGGTAGAATTATTTCTCAATATTTTTCCAAATTATTTGATAGTAGTTCCGCCTTTGTTGATACTTTTCGGTGGTACTTGCATGAATAATAAGTTATATTGTTTTGAAATGCCCTGATACTCGTAAGTGGCAATAGTTTCACCGTTTTTCTTGAACACAAAATTCTCAAATTGATAAACTCCACATGAGCCACACTCGATTGTGAATTTTCTGTTTCAAAGACAGTATCGTATGAGGGATTATCTGATAGTAACTTTTTTATTTGCTTCAGTACCTCATCATCATTATCGACTAATATACGAGAACGGAAAACCTGTTTTTTGCTATTTTGCGTAGAGATCTCGATTCTCCCAAATTGGAATTATATGCAAACGAACGGACCAGGCCGAAGTCAGGCCCTTGTGGTATACACTTCTCTATCCTATTATTAGGCTGTCTATTTTCTTTATTGGTATGAAGAATGGACCAAGCCCAAGTGAGGTCCTTGTGATACACAAATTTCTATTTTAGTTTTAGGCTGTTTCAAAAGTTTCGCCCCTTTCAGTTCCATTTGCTTTTGTAGCTTCATATCTCATTGAGTATTTATTCTACTATATCGTTGATGATACTGATCCATCGAGAATTCTGTATTCTATACATTGACGCTATTTATTGCTTCGAAATTTCAGTTTTCTGTCTCTCTTGAGCTTGAATATGAAAGTAGTTTGATCTCAACACAAAACCGTTATTTTCAACACCTCGACACGTGTTTTAATCACCAAGCGATCATTTTCCTCTTGAAGATGATCACTTGGTGATCGAAACACATGTCGAGGTGTTGAAAATAAGGGTTTGGTGTATCGGAAATTGACTCAGCAGTAGCTGTTACTGAGATATTACAGATAGAAGTAGTGTCAATAAAACGGACCAAACTGTTAAAACAACATTATATTTGCGAAAGAAGTTGCAAATATCTCATGGACAGGAAAATATCGATGTCTAAGCATGGGGAATGTTCCTCAATTTGGGTTATTACAGCAAATGCAAGTTTGAACAAAATAAAGTTGAGTTTAATTCATGAGTTTTTCAAATTCATTTCGAAAAGTATTCAAATTGATGGTTCAAATGTTGGATTTTAATTTTTGAAGGGATTTGTTTCTAATTCACATATTGGCAACAGCGCCTATATCAAGTTGAAATAGTTTATACGTACCTAGATATTTTACTTTGAAAAAGAAAAATTATCTTTATAAATCAACAATTAAGGCAAAATATAAATTACAGTTCAATACCACCTCCACAATGCACACAAACAACAGTTGTTTTGTTATTTATTCATATAGAGGAAGGATAGGAAAGCTGCACAAAATGTCATATGTCACAGAATGTCTCTGAACTCGGAACATAAGTAAACAGTACAGCACGCCTCTGAAATATGTCATCTTTGTTTGTCTCATACAGGTAACAGATTCATTGTCCTTTATTAGCTATAACCGATGTTGCCAAATGTTGAAATAGAAACGAATCCCTTTAAATGTTGAATGCATTATTTCATTCCTCTTTTTCAAGTATTTAAATAATTTTTTAAAGAAAGAGGTTGAGATGATGAGTTTAAAATGCGTTGTTTTGGAGCTCTTTTATGAAAACTACGTGATTTTCGTCAGGAGGAACATTCTCCATTATTATAAATGATTCAAAGAAGACGTAGTTTATGCTTGATGAAACATGATGACTTATTTTTGACAAATTTTCATTTTGAAAACCGGCATTTCTGGATGTAAATAATAATGTTGAAAACTATTGTGGAATAGTTTTCAATATGTTGAAGTTCTGAACTACGTGAAATAAATGAAACACTGTTGAGAATTGATTTTTATCCCAACCAATCTCACAAGATGGAATGTTCACTTTTATTCAACTTTCAGGGAGGCCGCTACTCAATGTTCATTCTGTTGCCGAATTCGAAAGGAGGTCTACCGATGCTGATGAAGAGTCTCAGCTTGCACAACCTGAAAAATCTTTTGTATCTGATGGATCTGAGATTGGTGCATGTTCAACTTCCGAAATTCAAATTCGATTACCAAGTTAGGCTGAGTAAACCTCTTCAAGACGTGAGTATTATGCAAATCATCCTCCAAAATGATAATATGATGACTCATTTCATCTGAAATGTTCCTCATCATTTCTCCGAAGCAGGAGAAACGTCCTTCTCTGTGGACTATTTTCAGTTGTGTATATAACATCTTCGTTTTTCATTGGATCAGATTTTCAACATTATGGGAAATGTAGAGACAAAAAATATCAGACACTTATCTTAATTGAGTTATGAACTGAATTGTTCTAAAAATCACTAACTTTATATCTCAGCTCAATAGAACTATAGAAGTTTCATCTGATTCCCCTCAAAACATACACATCTAACAATCACAGCAGTACTCACAAACTACAAACAAAATTGAATTGCGTACAGAGAGATTGGTGTAGTCTAACCTTCAATAATAATAATAATATACTTTATTGTCATTAAGAATAAATTTTGTGGACAAAGCTTGTGAAAAGTACACTACCTGTGGCCCGTAGTCGCCCAGATAGTTAGTTAACGTGCTATCAAATGTAGTTTAGGAGTAAAGGCTCGGCTAGCTGGACTGGCTGAATACTTATTTTTTGTCCGTTTCACAATATTTCTTCATCAGTGCCGTGTGTTCGTGGGGTTAGGTGAGGTAGTGAGTGGTTTTGCGAACCGATTTTTCAAAACTTCTTCTAGAGATCAATTACCCTAACACCAAACTGATATTTTTGCACTCGCTAACAAGGTTAGCATCTTTAGGAGAAGCAAATTGATACTGAATCTAAAGACAAGGGTTAGCTGTTTATATACCTAAAGTTTTTTGGTCCGATGCGGACTTTATTTGTTGAATGATGATTATCCTAATTGAGTTGTCAGTAATTAACTAGTGGAACCACTACCTGCAAATCAATTTGTCAACAATAGATTAAAAAGCGGACAAATTAATTTGAAGATAGTTAATTACCGAAAAATCAATTAGGATAATCATAATTTAACAAACAAAGTCCACATCGGACCAAAACATTTCAGGTATATAAAGAGCTAACCCTTGTCTTTAGATTCAGTATTGAAACGGCAGAGCACATACTTTGTGCCTGCCCCGCTGAGGATCGAATCAGGTTTTTAGCGTTCAGCAGAGCCGTACTCTTGCCGTCTGATCTGAAAAACCACTCGCCATACAAACTGATCGGCTTCAATAAGAATCTGGATTTATTCGGTCGATTTTGAATAGGCATGAGCCACAATAAACCCTCGCGGTTAGCGGTGCAGGGTCCAATTGACCCACTCACTTCTGACCTATGCTTATCCAACCTACAAAATTGTATGTCATACTAGATCATAATTATATTCGTGACTACAGTCTACACAATTTTTGGGTCTGGCTTCTGTATATGAAATTCTGGTTTCTCGAACGTTGAAACTGAAGGAAGAAACTTTTATTTGGATTGAAGGTTCTTTTGTAGAAACTAGAGTGATTTTTCGAAAAAATCACTGATTTTCTAGTAATATTATTCAAATTACGTTTGAAAAATTTTTTGCTGAATGTCAGAGTCAGCCTTTTTGATTCAATACTTGTGAAACATTAACATATGTATACAAAATAACTGAAAATTAAGTTCAGAATGACGATTTTTCGTTGTTCGTCATTGGAAAATATCTGGTTTGATTGATGCAGGTACAGGTCACAGACGACATTGAATATCAACAACTCTTCTTCTAGAGGCAAAAGAGGAGTGTTATATCTACAAATGACGAGGTTTCAAAAAATGTCGGCATTACTCCTGAATCTAGCCTGATCTGACAGATATAAGACAATTGAATCAACAACATTGGCTGCAGGGAATATAATAATCTCTGGATTTTTTTCAGAATAAGAGTTCGACAAAATTATGATTTTCAGCAGACGGATACCTTAGTTTCACATTTTGTGAATTCAAACAGATTTTGCTTAAAAAAATGCTGTCAAGTATAATGAATGGCTATAAAACTAACCCAACATTCGCAGTTGCTTTCAATATTTTACGTTGGTGTAGAGGCTAAGGACAATGTCTACCGCGCGGACGATCCAGGTTCGAATCTCATAACTATAAACATTTTCTAATTAGAACCACGTGACAAGGGAGCTTGAGCGGTGATGCGGAGTCCCAAGGGGGCTGATAGGTTAGGTAGGTGGAGTACCAAGGGGGCCGAGGGGCGAAGGTCCACGCTTGAATCGCTATGATATTCATTCCATCCTGCGTCGATGACGTCACACGGTTTCCCCTACTCCTGTTTGAACCAAAAATTGCAAAAAGTTCAGCTCCATTAGAAAATACATGGGGTTTTGAGCTCGGAACAAGTTTGTTCATCTACTGAAGACATAAATGATTCTATCATGTAGTTGACAACCAACGGATGGAAATATGTTGATGAACTGTTATAGCATAAAATGATATGTGTTTCCAACTATTTCAGTTTCAAATAGACTGAAGAAAACCTAGTGATTTCTCATTTTTTAAATAACACATCCACTCAGAATTCCTTTCAAAAATATTTGTTTTCAATTAATATGAAATTCATGAAAGATATCTCAAGTTTCTTGTATCGTTATTATAATTTACATTACGTATTGCTCACTACTTTCATCTTTGAGTGCATAATTCAATTTGTTCATAAAAAAAATACTTCAAAGAGCAGCGTCTCAAACACAACAGGCACACTCATCAAAAGAATTTATACTCTTTCATTCAATTTCTCCAGCTGCTTCTGCCGTAACCTACAAACTTTCCTACTTTAGTTATATCAACTCGTGTAGAGTCTGACAAAGAACAATAAATAGTCTAAATTACACGTTGAAAGGCACACATTTGATGAATATTCATGACACTCATTTCAGTTTGGTTTACTTCAAATGTTCCAAAACACAGCCAGTTTCCCAGGGATAGCTAGAGGAAACAGCTCATTGCTGAGAAAATTAGTCGTGTCTGATATTATACAGAAATCCGGGATTGAAATTGACGAGGAAGGAAGTGTTGTCTACGCTGCAAGTGGTAAGTTTAGCACGTTGTTACTGTGGGAGAATTTATTGGTTCCTTCAAAAGTTTTGTCTTTTTTTATGAGTCTACCTTGAACTGTAATATCTTAGTAAATACCTATTCATTTTTTTCGAAATAGGCGCCTTTTGAATCAGTGTACTTTCATCAAGGCAACACAAGTCGAATAATCCCGTTAGCATGGAAATTGAGTGCTCTGGATTCGATAAAGTCGACGAGAGACGTTTTTGCCTGGTTCTGATTGGCGGAGGATCTACCGTTGAGAAAGTTATCGAAGTGCTTGAAAATATGGTAGTCGATTGGCGAGAGGTCTGAGGAGTATGGTGGGTTTGATTTCAGGACGGTGCTTTGTGGAACGTGCGGACGAGCGTTGTCGTAGAGTAGGGTAGAACCTGATCCGTTGACTAGTACCAGCTGCTGGTGATGTATATTTGCCTAGGTGGCTTGTCGATGTTCAACCATTATCCTGAACGTATTCTGTTGTCGCAGAGGATCCGCTTTTCATCGCACGTGACGATCCGATGCAAAAAAGGATCGTTTTGGTTGTGCAAAACGAAGAAGAACAGACCTCGCAATGTGATGATTTCTACCGATCGTTCAAATCGTGGGGCTCCCACTTTTAGAGCTTTTCGATCTTTTCAATGCGTTTCAAACTATCAAAAAACCACATATGAGCTGACGCACAGTAATTCTGCCATTGAGGATCCTGGTAGAGAGTGGTGTATCACTCTCTACCAGGTTTGTTTGAAGGTGGTTGACAATGTTTCGTGGTGTATTTCATCAGTTCGGACTTCCATTGTCTAATATAATATAAATTGATTTGAAATCCCTGAAAAAATTATAGTTTGTATGTTATTTCCTTGTAATTTCAGTTTTTTTTAATAAAATTGTTAATTTCGGTTAATCTTTCATTTTTTTCAGGGATTTCAAATCAATTTATATTATATTAGACAATGGAAGTCCGAACTGATGAAGAACACTCTCTACCAGGGTCTTCAAATCCTCGTCCTAGATTGCTGTAGGTCAATCACTTCGAGGCTCATCTTCGAGGCTAAAATCTCCGGATCGATATTTAGCTTGATATTTCCAAAGTCTTCGATCGTTTGTGGCATGAGAGTTTGCTGACCAAACTTCGATGCTATGTCTTGTCGGATCATTTCTGTGTATGGCTCTCCAGCTTCCTAAAACAACATTTCCTACAAGTGACCATCGATGGATATCTCTCGAACACTTTCACTATCAACGCTGGTGTTCCCGGGGATCCATGTTATCTCCAACCCTCTCTATATTGTATATCAACGACTCATTGGAAAAGAGAAACAAGAATCCAATATATTGCTTTGCTCACTACAGCACACTTGTCTCGTCATTCCATTTGGATTCCAGGACGTCGGCTACGGAGGCACATCTTCACCGGCAGCAGGAGGTTGTATATCTCAATGAGGATCTAGAAGTGATTTCGAATTGGGTTGAAAGTAACCAGTTTGAATTCAATGCCACAAACACCAAGGCATCGGTTTTCTCCAAGAATAAATGCCTTCGAACCGGATAAAATGTTAGGTCTGACAATTCCGGTTTCTGCTTCGATGAGTTTGTTGGGGGTCAAAATGGACACCATTACGTCTTGGCACAATCATGTCGCTGGAATTGCAAAGGCTACTTCTCAAAAGCTTGGAACATTGTTTAGAATCAGAAAACTGTACACACCTCAGCAACATTTGATGCTTTATAAAGCTCAGATCATACCTTCTTTGGAGTATTGTTCTCATGTATGGAGTTCTGCCCCCAAACATACCCAGAACTTGCCGGATTCCATCCAGAAAAGAACCATCCGCCTGATTGGAGACGTGAACATCACGGGCAACCTTGATAGCCTGGAACATCTAACAAAGGTTGGAGATTTGTCTCTCTTCTATAGATACCCTTGCGGAAGGTGTTCAAGCGACTTGGCACAATTGATTCCACCAAGAGCGGTACATATCAGAAATACGAGACGAACTGTGGCTGCTCATCGTTTTGAGGTTCAACTCAGTACACTCAGTACTGAGTACTCAGTACTGAGTGTATAGTACTCAGTACACTCTTCCATCTTGAGAACTGCGTTTATGTGGAATAAACTTCCTGAGAATGTTTTTCCAAATGGATTCAATCTCCAGTGATTCAAATCCAATGTGAATCGCTACATTCGCACAGGCACCGCTCTGAGAGCGCCGTAAGGATTTCCTGTAGTGCTTGTGTTCTGTCCTTGAAAAACAGCAAACCAACGTCAAACAGTGCGTTCATTAACACTACCAGTGCCAAATGGTTGCTTGATTTTTTAGGCTGTTTGGGCATCGATCTGGTTCAATGGTCGAAATCAAACAGAAAATGAGATGAAGAAGGAAAAAAAACATGTTGAGTGAATGAAGTGGGATAAATCATAAAGGAAACACAAACATGAAATTTAATTTTTATTATTATAGTAACAATTTATGATTGCTATTTTCTGTTACAGAGATCACAGTTGGAAACAAATTTGGAGAACCACAAAGCTCTTTTCACGCTAACCACCCCTTCATGTTCTACATAGAAGAAGAGTTGACGGGAACGATATTGTTCGTTGGAAAATGCGAAAATCCACTGGAAGAAGATCCTGCTTCTCTGGCTCCTCGACCTACGGAATGAAGAATGAAGAAGTTATAAGTTTCCGAAGAACATGTTCAGTAAATTTTGATTGCAACGTAAGGAATCGTAGTTCAGTTGTGGTAAAAAAAGTTTGATATCGATGTACATTCGACTGTTTCGCTTTGGCCAAAGACAGGTTTTCAATAAAATATGTTCATGATAAAAATGTGATTTTGTTTCTGGAATCGCAGATTTTCAGTTTGTCTAGAATGGAAAATGATATGAAAAGTGACTTAGTGAATTGAAGTTGTTAACTATTAGGTGGGTTTGTAGACTAACACACAGATGGCGCCATAAGAAAAACATCTATATGATTTTCAGTTAACCCTAACCTCCAAAAGATATGTGTATGAATTTCAGAGCTATGTTTTCCACCACTTTTATATGTAACTGACGTTACTGCAGTTTCGTCACATAAGGACAACTTATAGATCAAACTAACAATGATTTATTACATTAGCCTTTATATAGCACCCCTGTAGGTAATAATAAGGTAGGTATTACCTTGTAGGTAATAATAAGGTAATGATTGAGTACCTGAATTTACAATGCGGATGTGCTAATTTGAACACCGGTGAGTAAACTAAATCGATTTGATCGATTAACAGGTTGCACCCGCGATGTTTATGCTTGTGAATTTCCAACGCTATGGCATAGCATTATAGGGGCGTGCTTTTCCATCAAAATGATGCATCGTGTCATGAATTAAAGAAAATGATGGCAAAAATTACATTAATTGGGCTTCGATTTGCTTTCGCATCCACTGTATCCTCCAGATATGCCCCCAAGTCATTTTTTCCTGTTTTTCTGTTGGAAGATGTGAGGAAACTGGCAGAGCACGAGTTTGATCAAATCACTTTTGAGGAACGTCAAAAGCGTTGCTGACATGTAGTAGATATAGAGCGGAAATTTTGGGAAAATGAAACATTTACAGACGCTCAAACAGAGGTGATTATGGTAATTATAAATTTATTTGACGATAGAAGCACAAGCAGCAGTGAAGAAAATTTGTATTCAGATAGTGATAGGGACACTGACCGGCAAGGGGCTTATCGTAACCCAATAGTAATTTAGTTTGGGGAGTCTATACCTGAGCGATCGCTTGCCATCAGCTGTGGCGTGTACTGTACCAGAAAGGTAAGCACTAACTTGCCAATCGTAAAAACATTTATGAAGTTGAATCAAAATTTTATTTTATGTTTAGTTATATATAGTAATCTATGATGCATAATGTTCAAAGGAAACAAAATTTATCAAAAGTGATTAAGTTAGGTATCTGTTTTGCCTTTTTCTACTTATTTGCTTATAATAACGACATCTTCAAATATAAACGGTTCAACAAAAAAGTGGTTGGAGTGAAACTTGAAGATAGAAATATTTTTTATGAAAATGTACAAAAATCACATTTGTAGGACAAATAGTTTTGATTTCATGAATAAAAAACGGCGATTTTCAGTAAAAAAAAACTTTTTTCTCAAATCTAACCTCGATGAGGCAGGGTTAACATTATTCAATTGGGCTAAAACTTTCCAAATCTCATTTTCTATAATACAATTCCAAAATAGTGGGCACTAAATTCTCAGGAATGACTGACGAATTTGTTTTAATCTGTATCTTACAGTGGCGTACAGAAATTATACTAAAAAGATGAGAGTTAATGTCCCCCCCCTTTTATTTTTTGAACGGATCAACTCAAAAAATTGAAATTTATGATAATGAAATTATTGCATGAATACCTTATTTTGAAGTGAAAGTGACAGATGAAAATTTCAAGATGAAAAAACGAAAGGGGGGTTTTGTGACACATCATTTTGAAGCTCCTGGTGAATACTTCACAACCATAGGATATTGAGTCAATATCTTCACCACCTACTACAAAATGGTGAAACATTTAATAATTTTCTGAAGACAAACACATCAATATCGATATTTCTAGAAATATTCCTTTTTATCTGCCATATAGCAATTCCAACAACCCGATAAGGTTTGTTGAGTTATTTTTCATTCATGAAAACGACAAAAAATGTCAATACGATAATGAACATCATTGTCCAGTTTGAATATTCTCNTTGAAGATATTGACATTATATTCTAGGGTTGTGAAGCATTTGTCAGGAGCTTCAAAAATATGTATCACAAGACTCTCCTTTCCATTTAATTTTTTTTCACAAATGGCGCTCAGTGGCGCCATTTTTCGAGTTGACTCGTTCAAAAAATAAAAGGGGGGGACATTAAAAAATGCACTGTATAGAATCACAACCTTGACAACAATGTTGTGGTGTGGTTTCAATGCAACAATAATTTCGAAAGTTCAGATAATTAATAGATAATTAGCAAATATTGGGGGGTCCTGCCGGAATTACGACGAAAATATTTTTTCACCTTATACCTTGTGACCAACCTACATCCATCAATTTACTGTGAAATCAGTTGTAATTGTGAACCTTCAGAAAAGGAAAGGTTTTTGACTTTCTGCTACTCCACCTTTACATGGAAAATCTTGGAAACTTCCTTCACTTCTAACAATAGATTAACGTTTCTTCAACACTGGGAACAAAAATCATTTCTTCTTGAAAGTAAACTTTTTTAAAGGCACATCTTGAGAGTGAAATTGAATCAGAGATATATTCAGCTAACGATGTTACCACAGTCATCAGCAAATGAGTTTTGCGGGCGAACATCAGTTATTCATAGCGTATGGGGTGGAACATAATCCATCGAGATCCGCAGGTACTGATTTAATATCAAAATCCTTGCTAAGCACCCAATTTGCCGTTACAAAGTGTCCGCCATCAATAAACCATGATCAAATATCTACTTGAATGTGTGAATACTTGGCAATCCCTCGCAATTTGCCATGTCAACATTGTGTGCCCAAGAGGAATCCGGGGTTATGAATTTATGTGCCGTGGTCCGTTTGATTACGGAAATCTACCGGATGGACGAGTCAAAGGAGGCTTTTGTTCACAACTCGAACAGAATTTATGCGTCGTTTGTTTTATGGTGTCCCGCAGGGTATGTTCCATGTACCGAGTGGTCAGGGCAGTCACTGAGAGATATACACGCTCCATCAATCTGATACACGATGAAACAAATACTTACCTACTTTTATGTGTAACGGGCAAGTTTTTCACTATGATTCATTTCACTTTGAATATCAAAATGGTCAGTTCAGAAGGGTTTAGCTCGATTATTTCTATCATTAGTATCGATTAGTTGTTGCCCGCGGATTCGCCCACGTAGAATTTGGTTTGTCACCCCGTTTCGTGACAGACCATTTTGAACAAACAGTTATAATATTTTTTTATCAACCAAAAACTTCAGGTTTACAAATTCAAAACCGACGAAATTCAACACAATATTTGAATCGCTATACAAAGAACCTACCTGCATATTTCAAGATTCATGGTTCAGTAGCTTCGGCTGTGCGTTAATATGAGACCGAGTAATAGTCAGTAATTTATATTTTCACTTGAAAAATACTGCAACTGAAGAATATGGCAACTGCCCTGGGTATTGAATAGCTTCGGGAACCGAATAATGTTACTTACGAAGAAATTCGCAAAACTAACACGAACGTCAACGACGTCTGCCTCTGCCTGCGTTCAGATCGCGTTCTTGGCGATGACGCTTTATTGCTTAGATCGCCCCTCGACCCCTGCGCATCGTCCCCCGCTGCTTACAGTAGACGCGACGAGTAATAGTTCACTTCCAGGGCTCGCACAGTAGTTTATTCATGATAATGTTACTATTTTGAAAACATATTAGATACATTGCAACAACTAGATTTTTGAGACTCAACATAGAACGACATGTAACAAACGTTCGTTTCATATCGTATTTTCAATGTTTCAATGTTAACAGATATTCACAAAAAGGATTTGGAGCATTTATTATATGCGAGCGCTTTCGCTAGCTGGCTATGCTATCATCTTCATGTCTCTACTCAAACTGAACGTTTTATCTTCTTGTTTGTTCTTTTATACGTTAGATCGCCTTGGTGAATTTGTTGTTGTTGATGGTTCATTAATTAGGACTTTGACAGGTATTTTTCCGCTCCTTTCATCTGCACATCTCTATGAATTTGCCTGTACTTGGGTTACATCAGGTAAACTACAGTAACTAACGTTACTGTAGTTTCGTCCTATACGGAAATTTTCAAACTTTCAAAATATAATAAACTAACAATGATTACATTCGCCGTTATATACCACCCCAGCAGGTACTAATAGAAATAGAGGTACTTGACTTGATTGAGTATCTAAATTTACAGTTCACAATGAGACAAGTAAGAA